AAGCTGCAAGTTGAAAAATCCAGCAGTCACGCTCCTCACCATCACTGGAGTTGTCCCAGAAGCAAGAGCTTGCTGTATGTAGCCCAGCACCATTCTTTTGCATAATCACACAGGTCACTGTTAGACAGTAGAGAAGCTTTTATTAATTTATCACTAACATAAATTAACATTCAGCTACCTTTTGCTCAGCAAAGCATACACATACACACATATGCATGCTTAGGAGCAGTGTACAAACGTGGTTCTTTCCAAAGATCTTCTCCCACCCACTAGTGCACTTGACTGCACCAGCTTTCACAGAAGAGAGAAAGTTGAGCTCACCAATGTACTTGAAGGGTTTGCCCAGCTTTGTGAGTTGGCTCAGTGTCTGTTCCACCACGCCTGTTGTCCACTGGTTCACCTTACTGTGCTGGTAGGCGTTGCCGCCTATCGCACCCTCTATGGCCTGTTGGGGACACACACATAAAGAAGCCGCACCGGGTCCATCTACAAGGCACCCACTAACCCATTCCAGTATGGACCCCATACCCACAGAAAAATCCTAAATATTGCTAGTCCACACTGGCTGTTGGAACTGTTTTTAATTATTATAAACTTGCAGGTCAGAGTCTGAGCCAGGAATCTGAGCCAGGCATCATAGATTCCAGCCTCTGTCATTTTGTGATATTCAGACTATTTGTAATTTCTATCATAATGTCCTGCAGCCAGTTATGAAAAGGGTCTCAAGGCATTTAAACAGTCCTGAAGAGAATGAAAAAATGCACATGACAACGGCTCATTCACACATATTCTTCTACGGAAACGAAATTCAGATTTTTCAGGAGAATCACTTTTGGGAAACAAACCCTCAAATTAAAACAAAAGACCCATGTAGTTGCTGGTTACTAACAGAGCAGAAGCCTTCAGCGAAATAATCCATTTTACTTATGAGGATAGTTTCCCCTTTAAGATAGAAATAAAAGTATGCTAAAGCTACATGTTTTTCATTGACACATTTTTCATCACAGAAATTGTTTTAAAAATAACCACAATTATTTCAAATTCAGAAGAGACAGGAGCATGTATTAAAGCATATGTATTCAATTTACAGAGTCTGACCAAAAGAGTTATTTTGCAACAAGAAAAAGATTGCACTAGTCTACAAGAGAAATTCCAAATCCCTCTGGAAATTTTCTAGACAGAATATTCATGTTTCTTAGCAACAAGAATAGTTCAGTCATTCCAAAGAAGAACTCACTTTGGAGAAAAGCATCTTGAATGAACACAGTAACATGCATATGCAGACAGTCTATAAAAAACTCCTGTATTTTACTGAAACATAAAATCTATTTCTATAGGGCTGAACATAAAATATCCCCCTGGAAATTCTAATAGGCATGCACTTCAACCAGAGAGGTATGTATGAAATTATTTTAATTATCTTTTGGATTTGTGATACAAATCACAGCTAAGGCTGGGTATCTTTTCTCCTTAAAGTCTCTACATTGATTATATCAACAGTTACCTATATTTTGAGAGCAACCTATCTAGAAATCTATTACATATCCGTTATCAGATTTTACTGAATATCTTTTAGCACACAGCATAAAACATACTATAGTTTCACACCAACAAAACGAAAATGTTAATTTACCTCTTTAATGATGCTACTGACTTCATCAACAACAAAGGAAGCCTACAAAAAAAGTAGAATTTTAAATAATCAGTTGACACATTCTTCTGTTTAGAGAGTTCAAGATCTGTTAAGAACATGCACTAAAAGTTTAATTTATGCTTGTCAAATTTCTGCTAAGTCAGCAGATACCAAGTCTTCCTTTATTTGCTCATATGTACTCTGGCTCCTTTAATCCAGTCAAGTGAACATTCTTAGCAAAGTAATAAAAAGTAAGAGATGAACTAATATTGGTTGGCCTTTTAAGTCAAGAAAGTTTTCGAATTTTAACTTGGAAGCATTTTAAAATCACATGTATAGCACTTCTGTACATATACATTTTCCTTTCACAATAAGCATCCATGTCTGCACATCAGGGTGGGCTCGCAGAGAAAACCTCAGTGTGCAGACACAGCCTGCAGTTAAATGAAACCTACATCTCCAGGGCACCCATGCGACAAAACATCAATTCTTGGCTGAAGGAAAAACTGTCATAACAATCTCAGCCGGGGATAAGAACAAAACTGCCCCTTGGAAACCAAGGGGGAAATGTAGCTTGCTGGAACTTCAGCCTTCTCTCAGGCTCTGGGGAGAAGATTAAGCACATGGAATCAGGAGAGAGAAGACACCAACATTTTATTAATCTTAAATCTACTACCCACTTACATGTATGGTTAGTAGGTTTTCTTGTTTTAGTCCCTCATCTCTTTTTGCCCCCCATGTCAGGAGGCTTGAACAACCCACCACCACTGCTGGGGCACCTACTCACAGGGCCAGGGAGCACTAATGGGGAACCCTACGTGGTGTGTAGGTGAGACACACACCACACTGTCACTGCTGGGGGGACCTCACAGCCACACCTCACAAACCAGGGCCAAAGAAGTGCACAAAAAAGCACACTAATTAATTTCAGAAGACTGATTAAGGATGTAAAAATGAACCTAATCAAGCACATGTTGACCAGGTTTTCACTGGGAGGTCAGTCAGCTTCTCCAGCTGACAAACATGAACAACAGCAAAACTCACATATGCAAGCAGGATGCAGTTATACCTGCACAGGAGAATTTCAGCATTACTTTCATAAATCTTTGATCAGAAGGTGAACAGCCTAGCTGGCTTCAATGACGTGACATTCAGAAAGATGTGAGCTGCTGATCATTCTCCATGACAGAAGAAACAGCACATCCCGGGAGACATGCAGGCAATTCCTTTTCTATAACTCCTCGGAGGCACCAGCTTGCTTGCGCACTTCAACATTTTTAAAAGCTTTTATGAGCTGTGGCAATTTTTTTTATTTTATCTTTATTTTGGCTTTTATTTTCAGCTTCTTGACTTTGATTTAATTTTAATATGCCTCGTTTATTTTCCTGGTACTAAATTTTACAGATGCACTAGTGTATTTAACCAAGTAGGAGCTACAATTATTAAAACACTCTGTCCCAAAGAGCATAAGTTAAGAATATGCATGCCAGACACGCTGGCAGACATGAAGCCTGCTGTCAGGCAAGATGATAAACCATATACGGGTTTTTTTCTTCACAAAGTCTAGAACTCTGCTCAGACATGGCATTGAGCACAAATACAGTTCACCAAAGTAAAATGACTTAAATTCAACCCAAGTTCTTGAAGGTATTTCAACATCCAATTTGTACTGAAACAATAAAGAGATTTGAGAATATGCTTCTAGAGCTGCTGTTACTTTTCAACCTTCTTCCTTTTCTGAGACAACAAAGGAGAACAAATTTCTGGTATCCAGCTTTGGGATTTACGTGCTATAACTGAGTTGCCAAATAATGCAACACTACCAGTTCAGCTTTTAATAAGACGGCGTAAACACTGTTTTGTATTAAAAAATTTGTAAGCTTTACAATTTCCCTGCAGTACCTCTATGGCACAAAGAAAGCAGACACGATGTTTCAAATGCTTTGTTTAAAAGGCGCGCTTCCGAGGCAACAAACGCAAACTGCAAAGCAGTACTATCCTTTACTAATTATTGAAAACGTTTTCGAAAACATCTATAAGAATGATTTTCGAGTATATTAATGTATGTATGTTATTTATGTCTAAGACTGGCCCAGCCTGGCAACCAGGAGAAGGCTTTTAGACCAGCACAAGCCTGACACACCTTCGCCCCTCTCGCTGCTTCCCCATTGTCTCACATAGCCACAACGCGCCGGTTAAGTAACAGTGTCACAGCTCAGAAAAACTGTCTTCCTGCAAGAGCAGTACTGTCTGGGTGCTCAGTTAGATCCTTGATTTATCCCACTTCGAATCCTGCTAATGGGGTACGACGCCTCATCGGTGCGCCTCTAACACGCACACCATGGGCTTGAACCCCTCTTTCCGCACAGAAACAGCTTGCTCGAGTGTCCCTACACCTACACCGCACCGGCAACCCTGCCACCACGGCACACCGCCTCATCCCGCTGGGGAAACCAGAAAGCCAGGACTCCCGTCCCGCGTTCCCTCCGAGCCCCCGCAGCGGCAGCTCTGCGAGGGCGGCGGGCGCCGCCCGGGGACAGGAGCCCAGCGAACACCCGGACAAGGGGCCGGCTCCCGAGGGGGCGGCAGAACAAAGGCCGGCCCCTCTCCCGCCGCTGTCCGGGACACGCGGCTCCACCCTGGGGAAAGGTGGCAGGGATCGGGGCGATGGCGGCGGAGGACACTGAGGGGTGGAATCCAGGACGGGCAGGCACCGCCTGAGACCGTCCGCCGGCCCTGAAAAAAGGCGCCAGGCGGGCAGCTGTCCTCCTTCTGCCTCTCCATCCCGTTACCTCCTCTCCAGACTGGAACTCGTCCATGTTCCCGATGAAGCCGCTCCCGCCGCCACCGACGCCCACCTCGTCACCCGCCGCTCGCACTGCGCCTGCGCGCCGAGCGCCCGACAGGGCTCGGGCTCCTACTCCGCGCCCTCCAAGATGGCGCGGTTGCTATAGCAACAGCGGCCGGGAGCCGAGCGGGGAGATGGCGCTCGGCGCTGCCGTGGGACCGCTGTGGCGCTGTCAAACATCCCAAAGCCTGGGGCTGAGACAGGGAGGTCTCTTGTCACGGCTATGCTTTTCATACGGATAGCTTGCCGTTTGTGTTCGGTGATGCAAGAGGTCCCTCCCTGGGATGTCCTTTTCTCTTTCCCTGGGAGAGGAGATGGGTCTGCACCTTGTTTCTGGAAACAGACCTTCAAAACAAGGCCTTCATTTCAGAAAAATGAATTCATGTATGCCAAGAAACTGCAAAAAAATGCCCAAACATACAGAAAAACTCTCCCTGTCATTATCTCAACTCATGAGCCTTTCATTATATTTTCTCTCCCCTGCCCAGATGAGGAGGGGAGTGACAGAGCAGCTTTGGTGGACACCATGTCCAGCCAGGGTCAACCCACCACAGAAGAACATCTGAATTCTTATAATTCTAAGCAGATCACATTTTTTTTAACAGACAGAGTAAGAATCAGGACAATGAAATTGAAGGGCACACTTGTCACAGTTTATGGATGTCATGTGTGTGCAATATTTACAGATTGTCCAAATTACTGATGCTACCAGCCTCTGAGAGCTGCTCTAGGCAGTGGAAGATGCTGTTCAGGCTCAGAATGGCCTGGATGAACTGCAGAAATGGTCTCGATGAAGAAAGAAATAACTTACTGGGTGCGAGTGCAAAGGGCTATAGTGAGGCGGGAATAACCAGCTCTACAAGTACAGACGGGGCAGGGTCAGCTCACTCAGTATGTGTTCATAGACAATAGAGCAGGGGGTTGTTTAGGTACAATTTATCTCAATTTGTCATAAGGTCCTGTGGAAAAAAAAAAAAAGATGCCATCCTGGGACATCTAAACAGACACATAGCCTGCAGGACGTGGGAAGCAGCGTTCCTGTTGCCTTCTCTACAGCAAGGCTGCAGAAGGACTATGGTGTCCAGTTTTGGGCATTGTATCAAGAAGGCTGTTGGAGCTATAGCCCTGTTGATGGGACCTCAGCTGCCCTAATCAGTTTTGACCTTGTCTCCAATCCTGTGTCAGGCCCTGCCTCCTGTTCCTCCTGAAAAAGGAGACCCTGACCAGCCACCTCACTTTGGGACTCTGTGGGCACCCTGCAGGCAGCACCAGCTCTGCCCATCTTGCAGGGATACTGTGGTACTGTGGCTGGCTACTGAGCATGCCCTCAGCCCTGCTCCAAGCCTTGTGCTAGAAGCAGAGGCAGAAAGGCGAGGGCTATGGAAAGGCTGAATAAGTGGTTCTTGTTTGAACAAAAGCACAAAAGGCTATAATTTGGTTACATTCTTAGCATATATAAAATACTGTGACAGTTTTCCACATCCAGGGATGAGAAGGAAAAATACGGTGAGTTACATGTGTGGCAATTAAGGCTTTGTTGAAATATTAGGGGAAAGCTGGTGGTAGAGATAATGTTCCTCAGCCTGGATTTGGCATGCTACTATTATGTTGCTGTGGGTAGCTAGAATCCTCAGGTTGGTTCTGGTCTTTCATTCAGTTAAGCTTTTTACTGAAGTTAAAGCCCAAATTAACCAAATATGATGCATATATGCATAGTTCTGTACCCCACTAATGGTTGCTTTCCTTCCATGATACAGCTGAAGAAGGTGATTAAACTTGACATACACAGGTGGGAATGTTCGAACTTATTTAACTTCATGAGATTATAAAAATGCAGGCTCTTAAACTTTGCCATGTGAGTAGAATTGCCGCGCTTTGTTTAATTTTAACTAGAAATAAGGAATCTTAAAACACCTGAAACACTAAGTGTGCTTCTGTGTTGTACATATAGTTTGTTAAAGCCAAGAACAAGAAAAGAGATTGTCCTGCAAGAATAGCCTCTTTTATTTGCCAGACTTTGAAATAATTGGGATGTAATTTTGAACTTCATTACCCACACTTAGTTCTGTAATACACTGAATTGGGATATCCCATCCAAATAATATTTTAACTTTCAATTGTTACCTGAGATCAGATTTCCAGCTGTGAGGTAAAATAACTTTCTTCTTTTTGCAGGTGCATAAAAATGAATTGTTTTGAGCTTTTATCTATTCTAATTGCTTTTTTATATAGACCTAAATAGAAAATTACTTTTGTTTCCAGGAAAGATACTTATGATACAGGAAAGAAACTTATGATACAAAGTTACGAGTTTTCTGTGCAAGTCCTGGAGCCATTGAGGTTAGAAGCATTTTCACATCTATAGTATCAGAAAAGAAACTATGTAGAACTCAAAGCCACTTCTCTTCCTGTGTATGGCTTGAAGTCTGAGCACATTTTATCAGTCAGCTTTTATAGTCTCATGTGCTGAGTTTCTTTTTAATGTTAGAAAAATTAATATCTTCTCCTTGCTTGTTGCAGGAGACTTGACAAAAGCTTTTGTAACATTATAGCTCTTTGTTGAGTGCATTTGCTTTTAGCTGTTTTGGGGATGCTTCTCTGAACATACATCAGTAATATCAGTGCCCAAAGGAAGGAAAGGGAGTGGAGAAGAGCCACCAGTTTTCTTTAAGAAAAGATAATTAAATAATAAGAGTGCTACTTATCTTTTAAAAGCAGTTTACTTCCGTGTGTCTTTCTTTGGGGGCTGCTGAAGAGGTAAGGACATCGTTTTGATCTATTCTGTATGATATTGCACAGAGGGATGCATTTTTACCTACTTGCATGATGTTTTTCAAACTGCAAAGGTATAATGGAAAAGCCACAGCTGGAACTTAATTTTTTGTGTTGGGTTTTGTTGTTTGTTCTTATTTTCACTTCTAAGTTCTGGGGTGGGATGTTATCACAGACATAATTTTGGTAAGGCATTATCAAAGGACTTATAGGTAATTTGCATGTGCACATGCAGGGAGGTGAAAATTAAACTGTTGCAGCCAGGTAGTACAGAACAACATCTGCAATTTTCTTAACTAAGAATAAATTTATGAGATTGGCCTCAGATGAATAGAAAATAGCCAAAAATTACAGTGGCTTTTGTGATCGTTTTTACCCTGAACCTTCTTAACCTGTGTCCTAGCTACTGATGTATTACATCTATTTTCTGGATTAATGGATGAAGTAATCCAATTATCTCAAGTCAATGAAGACTGTCACTTTAGAAGATTAGTTTATTTATACTTACTTAATTGTCATTATTTTGCTAATGCTTAAGGATCTGAAAGGAGATCAATAATATATTACATGTAAAATTGCTTTGAGGAAAAGCTTGCTAAGTCAGGTGCTTCTAAGTTTAAAAACTTAAAAAATAAGCTACCTTTTGCAAACTTAATCTTGTGTTGGATAGATCTCTTGATTGATCTTCAGTTACGTAACTATATGTTATTTTAGGCTGATATAAAAGAACAAAACATATTTTTTGAGATTGCACTCAGTGCATTCATGTCTCCTTCTCCTAAGGCATAGCCATGTTGGTTATTTCTTCTCCCTTACATTGGCTTTGAGACTTCATATGATATTTTCAAAAAGCTACTGATCCATCTGCAATTTAAAATAAAATGTAATAATGATAAATATATAATTAACATATTCCCTTCAAGTATTATTTTAATGTGAACTTTGTGCTGAAAAGGAAGAATTGTCATGGTATTTACTAAGAGGTTGCTGCTATTTTTGGTTTTATGTAGAAGACGCTCAGCTTTGAGGTTAGCTGACCACATGAAACAACTAGCTAACTGGATTCAACGAGTAAACAAGAAAGGAGGACATCTGCAAAGATTTATAATGTTGTTTCTTCCTGTCAAAGAGGGCCATTACTGAAGACACTTCTTTATTACTTCCAAAAACCTAATCTAATGCAGGCAGCTTTGGTGTAAGAGAAAAGCTCTTCTTTTGCAGTGGTAGAGAGCTTTACAGTCCAATTTGAACACTTCTGTGAAATGATTACAAGTTCAAGTCTGTTGTGGGGCCAAGAATTATCTTCCATTTCGGGGGTTATAATGCTTTTATAATACTTTGTTTATTCTGGGAGCTACCTCATCATAAAGCCAGATTTTAAGTTACCTTTGGATGTGCAAGAAAAATTGACAGAGCACAATGATTGTCAGAGTTGAAATCTTCATGAAGATTAAAAAACCAACAACTGTAGAAGTGTGAAGGTGCAATATTGATAGAGCTGCTGGCTGCATGATGAATTTTAAGCTTTGTCTGCAGTGTGTGCTGATCTTGCCCAGCGGTGAGAGAGCCATGGTGGCTTTTTCCCTCTCTGCACAGGGCAAATGCTGTAGGATGGAGGACCCTGGCACTTTGCTCTGCAGTAAATTTGTTCAGTTGTTTAGTACCAGAAGATGATTCTAGTCTTTCCATCCTGCTCCCTGTTGGCATTAGATTCAGTGTTTGTGATTTATCACTATGAATAGGGTATGGAGTGTAACATATTAAATCAGCTGGTTTTGATGTTTGCAGTATCAACAACAGGCTGAGATTGAATGCACTTCTGGATAATCTTGCCCTGGCTAAGGCAGAAACTGTGTCTCCCAGGGGGAATAACTTTGAGCAAGACAAATTAGAAACAAGGGGAGGGTCTAAGCTTTTCCTTCCATCACAGTGTTAAAATTTGTGCAAGTTTTAATAGCTGAAACTAATGGTTTGTTTGTTTGTTTTGTGCATCTCTAAAAAAAATTCTGTGTGTCCTCTGAAACTCATGTCTCAAAACAGTCTTGATATATGGAAAACTTTGTGCCCTGAAAGCAGTTGAAGGATATAGGGGCCTTTGAACATGGCGTATATTGTGTTAAAAAATTGCTCAAGTTTTCTATGTTTCAAATGAGTAATTTCCTGTGAAATTGCAGTTGGTAAGGAAATAATATATGATTATGCCTATCTCTGTCTCTTTTGTTTGCACAGGAAACCAATCTCTTTTTTTTTTTTTTTTTCCCTTTAACACTGCTTCTGTGAAATGCTTTCTCCTTTCGGTGTCTGAAGGGTTTTACAAAAAAAACCCCACAACATACCGGAACAGAATGCTTGCTGTTTATAAATACATGTTATCACCTTCTGCTTTTTTTGGTGGAAAATTAGGTAACTATAAATTAAGTATTTGGAGCAAGCTGCATGTGAAGTAATTGTTTTATATTTTGGTGGAGGTTCTGCAAAAATGAAGATCACAGAATACATTCAAACTGCAGTTGGGATTCTGTTTTAATTTTACACTTCTCATATGCTTATACATGAACTTCTTCGGTTTGAGGCCAAAATTATTCGTGCACTGAGATGAAAATAATAACTTTTTACTGTTTCCGCGTATTAACAAAGAGAATAGCATTATTTGGTATTAAACTGTTTATCTAGACTTAAAAGACATAGGTAATTGACAAAAATGACTCTTAGAGATGTCTTTCCTCTTAGTTTTGTGATGTTTTGTCTTTTCAATAAAATGAGATTAGAAGGGGGCATGTTTTTCCTCAAAAATTTTGTCACAAGGACTATGACTTTTCCAGTCACAGGACTTGCAGACCTGTGGTCAAAACTAACTTAAACTTTTTTATTGGTTATTTTATTTTAACTGTACAAAAAATGCAAAGATATGTGCCTGAGTGTTAATGAACAGTATGGTGAGACTCTTTGAAGAACAGGACTGTTTTAAAACCTCTCCTGTATCTGAATTAGTGTATGAAAGGTTTGAGTGTGGCAAAATGTGTTCTTCACATATTATTTTAAATGTCTTGGAAAGAAGAGATAATAACATGTATTCTTCATTTTTTCTCAGGTCCAGAAATCCCATATCTACAAAACCGAATAAAAAATCTCAAACGAGTCCCCCCAGTCCTTTACACCATTTCTTGACATATTGTTCCTCCATCTGGAGGCAGTTAAAGCCCTGTCTGGGACATTGCTGCAAGCTCTCATCTCTTTTGGAACTACTTTCAGTGGAAAAAAAAAGATAAAAAAAGAAAAGAACAGGAAGTTTAAGGACACGAAAAAGTCAAGACTGCTGTGACCTTGATAAGTGTTCATATTCCCTGGTTTGCAGAGACACCTAAGTGATGGTTTGTGTGAAGACAGACACAGTTATTTTTCTCTTCAAGGGCATGACACAGTGAAACACATCACCAATTGAGTAAGAGGGCAGGCACTTAGTTAACACCCAGACCATTGTTCTGGATATACTAGAACCCAGAACTTGTTCTGGAGTGTACAGAACAAGTGAAATTTGGAGAAAATGGCCTGTGAATTTAATTTGAACTTCCTTAAGGAATTGGAACGAGAGGCTGTTTTGGAAGTCCTGTACCGTGACGAGATGGTGAGAAAAACAGAAGAGGAAAGAATAAGGTATGTGCTCCTCCCCTATTCCTGTATTCTGTTCCTTTTTTTTTTTTCCCCTGAAGTACTATTCTTCTACCTTGTCCTTCCAAATGTACTCCTTTTTATAACTTCTTGTTACCTAATGCTTTTTTATTCTTTGGGAAAACCAAGGATTATCCAGAGCCTCTTGAACTTACCACTCCATTGACTCTACATTAAAGATGAGCAAATACTGTTCTGTGAATAACATACTGGATGAATTTTACTTTCAGCCTTCATAGAAAGTTTAGTTGCTGCCTGTATTTTTTCTATGAAGGCCTTATGGCATTCTTGTCACGTTCCTATGTATGTATATATAGTCCTGGTAACACAGAACATGTTCAGATCTTTGGCTGGCTTATTTAACTTAAGTTGTGCCAATACTGGAGTTAAGAATCATTGGATACCTGCTCATTGTGCTAAATCCATCACTGTCCCTTCTCACACACAATGCTGTTTCAGAGGTTGTTACTAGTGTCAATAGCTGCCATTGGTTAGGAAAAGGATTTTATTAAATAACTTCACATTGTGCAAGTATCTCAGTTAGAGAGGATAAAGGATATTTCTCCAGCATTTTTTTTTTTGCTTTAAATCATGGCTAGGACAAGGATTTCCTTGCAGCTTGTAGCCTTCTTTGTGACATTGTATCCCCATGTAAACAAGGTATTTGTGTGGATAAGATATAAATTTTTAGTCTCTTAAATGTGGAAACTTAAACTTTGCTTACAGCAAACAGTTATGTAAGTATTATTGGACATATTAAATAAAAACAATTAAGTGAAAAGTAAGTAAAGGGTTATATAGAAAATCTGAACTGATCAGAAAATCCCTTTCAATTGTTGATGGTGTTGGTAACAGCTAAAAATATAGATCTTGATTATTCGTACATGTAATGGAAACAAAGTTAATGAAAAGGCGAGGTTTTGATCTTTTGGGGCAGTGTAGTTTTTTATTTAGCTTTCAGATAATGCATTTGTTATGAGCATTTTTACTTGAGAGAAGATCTGATTCTTGAATAAATATGATAAATAAAACCCCATCAAATGAAAGGGAGCACCATTTAGTCTCAGTTTTCGTAGATCAATTCGTAATCACCTCCATACATGATTTCAATGCCTTGCTTTGAGAATGCCTAACATGATCAGAACCCCATTTATACTAAATTATTTCTCTGTTAGTATGCACAATTCTGGTCACATACAGTCACACTGCAAAAATGCTATGTGTGGATGCCTTCAGACAGTGCTCAATGGAGGTCACACTTGAGGGCCTATCTCCCACTAGTAATGGTATTGCACAACCAGGGAATTAGCTCACTTTCATGAGGATTTTTGTCTATTTAATTTTTTAATTTTTTCTTTATTCTTTCTTTTTACCTGGGGGGTTAGGAAACTGAAACTGCATCTACAACAGCTTCGGTGGAAAGGGGCAAAAAATGTAAGCCATGAATATCAGGAGAGATCTTGTGCTCGCTGTCAGAAATCTCTCGGGTTGTTGATGAACAGAGGGGCAGTATGCAATGGCTGCAGTCATCGAGTATGCTCTGAATGCCGTGTCTGCCTGAATCCCTGCCTTTGGAAATGCACCATTTGTTATGCTCATGGGTAAGAAACTTTACTGGTTTGGATAAGTGCTGGTTTACACTGGTCATCCAATGGATGCCCACTGGTTTTGTACATCTGTTGCTTAAACAATTAGTGAAACAAAGCCTCTGGCATAATGAAAATGTTGACTGGAGTCCTGGTAGCAATGAAATCGGGGACAACTTTGTGCTATGCTTCACATAGTCAGGATTTCCTTCCCTGTGTTCAGCAAAATGGATCTTCAAGGTAAGCCAGAGGTAGTGGGGCAAAGACGATAGCAGCAAAGCATAGCAACAGTCTAAACCATAGAGAGAATTCCTTCCCCTGACTCAATATTGAACCAGTGCATCCTAACAAGCTGCTGAAGGTGCTGTGCTTTGTAGTATAGCCAATTTCTCTACAATTTCCTAATCATTATTTTCTGCCTTTTACTATAGGAGTGAGGAACCTGGATTGATAAATACTAAGTAGTCATGTTTTATAAAAAATTTAAAAAGCAAAAAACACTATTAGGATTTTCTTTTACTATATCATCTTAGTTTTGTTTTCCAGGACACAGAAAACAATCTTTCTTTTACTATATTGGTACAATTTTTATATCAAAATATTCCTTCATAGTCCATTCTATTTCTTAGAATCTTTCTAAACCAAATGGTTTAGAATATTTCCACATTTGATGAAAAATAATATGTAGGCAAAGAATGATAGTTTTGGAAATTAGTCAAAAGCTGTGCTGGATGATATATATTCCTGTACAAAGAGTGAGGATTTGGATAAAAATTTACTTTATGCCAACACAAGATTAATCCACCACCTCACTCTCTCTGAAGGTGGAAAAATGAGATCAGAATAGTGGGAAATATAAGGCAAGGTACTGCTCTTAAACTAAACAAATTTGTACTAGATTGAAGTAATTTTCTACAGTTTGGAAGAGAGTTATAGTTCATAAAAAGATAGTTCAGCGCTCCCTGATAGCTGCCCCAAGTTCTGCTTGGAACCATGTCCTCTACCATTGATGTTCCCTGCTTCTCAGAGTAGGCTGCAGCTGTAAGCAGTCAGGATGCCAGGCAGCACAAGTGCCTGGGCTGTGTTGCAAGTTGATTGTATAGACTGGAGTGGAGCTGAGACTCCTGGCTTCAGAGCAATGCCTAGAGCAGTGTGTATCACTTTCCATGAGCAGTCCTACATAGCAGAAAGGAAAACACACACAGACATACAACAAAACTGGTCAATGGATTGAGCAGTCAAGAAATCTTAGTTTTATGGTAGAATTGAAAAAGGTTTTTGTATTGTTAAATAGTTACCAAACATTTGAAGAAAGGCACTTGGGAACATGGTGATTCAAATATCCTTTCATTGTTTTTCAGAGATGTTAAAGTAAAGGCTGGTGAATGGTTCTTTGAGGAACGAGCAAAGAAATATCCAGGTGAAGGTAATCACTGGAATAGACCATAAGCTGCTATGTAATATGTAATCATCATCTAAGTGAAACACAGAATGTAGTCTGCCACTGTATTTAATATTTCTTCCATTTGATGAGAAATTGCCATTCAGTGCATCTGTTTTTGCACTAAATAAAACATGAACACAAACCAGCAGGATGCATTTTAAAGTATAACTTATTATGTTTGATTAATAAGAAAATTGCCGGCCACATCACTTTGAACTATTGAGTGTGTAAGACTTCTAAGGAATACAATGACATGAAATAAATATAGAAATGTTAAAGTATAAATTCAGGAAGGAAATGATCTTGAATCCATCACTTGTCAAGTTAAAACTTCAGTTGTTTTCACTGAGAAAGTTCTAAAGCTGAAAGAAATGATGAAATGGAGGAAAGAAAAACATATATAGCTATAAATCAACAAAGAGCTAAACACTTACTGTTTTGTTACTTTCAGGCAGCTGTGCCAATTGCCTTGTGTTCAGTCTTTTCAGTGCCATCAAAAGTACAAAGCCTTAAAAGAAATTATAGAGGATGTGGATGGATTGCTCCATGGGGAATGTGTTTTGCCAGCCAAGGGGGTGTTAGTTTTTGTTTCACCTACAATAACTGGTGAAGTGGAGAGGATTTCTTTTCTCTTTCCCTTGAAGTGCCATTTCAGATAGGCAGTTGTTTTATTTTGTGCCTGAACGTAGTCAAATTATAGAATTTCACTTCCAGTATCTGCATTACATCTAGATTTAAGGGTAGTTGGAGAAAAGGAAGGAACTGGGCTTTAAATGTGTCTTGGGAAACTTGAATAGGAAGAATTTTATAATTGTAAGAACGTAATCAGTCAAATTTTGGGTAGTAGGTGTTCACGAAAGACAGCAAGTAGCATATTAAGAAACTAAACTACAGCTCCTGCTAATAAAGTTAATTTCAAATTTGAAAGATTTCACTGCAGTCCATTCTAGGTAAGACAATTTCTGATTTTAAAGTATTAGTTGACTGATCTTTAAAACCACAATTTTATCCAATTACCGTTATTAATAATTTCCTTTTGATCTTTTCAGTGAGTCTAAAGCTGGTAATTTTATCAATCTCTCTGTTATTGAAGGTACTGTCTCTTTTTCCAGCAAAATAAATGAGTTCTCACTTTGAATTATCAAAGCTTTGTGGGTGCTTGAAGCATTTTGCTTAGTTATACTGTTGAAGTCACAAGGATCTAAAGATATACAGAAGATAAACCTGCAGGGAGAAATATATTTTGTTTAGTTCCTTTGATTAGACCTACTGATATAATTAAAGAGGTTAAAAAAATGGCAAACTAAAACACAACAGCTATTGTGCATTCTTCAATCCTGGAGAGACAGTGCCCTCTTTTGGTTTGAAAATACAGCGTACCTGAAGTATTCACTGGAAAGTAAGTTTAACTGAAAAAAAAATACATGTTACAGTGAAATTTTCTCATGTTACAGACTAAAATAACCCAAAGAGTGACATCAGTATGCTTTTTATTAATTTTTTGGTGGCTTCTACCTAAAGAAGATCAAGAATAAGATCAATATTTTCATAAAAGTGGTATATTGCCTTTAATGGCTAATACATTTAAAATTTAAGATAGTAAATATTACTTATTAATAATAGAGCATGAATAATGGAGTCTTGATTGAAAGCTGTAATACTGATGAGTTGACTATTATTTCTATCCCCACCAAGGTCTACTACTTTTATGTAAGCGATGTTATAGTTAATGTTATAGTTAACGCCATCTTTAGCAAAACATGGATTACGTGCTGCTTTCTATATTAGGAATTATTAGTGATTAAAGATACTCCAGATAATTTCAGTTGGTCATTTGTAACATGCTTTTAGCTATTCTTTCTGTGATCACCTGGGAACAAACTAGAGTTTTATGAGTCTTCATTCTTTGTGCCTGATGAAGTGCTTGCTCCTTGGTGTTCTTTACACCATGTGGCTGCTCACCTGAGGAATGTGACATGGTTGTTATTTCCCTGCAGGGATAGTCTTAACAAAGGGTTTTGCTCTTTTTTGTGAGCTAGTCAAGCATTTTTGTGGTTGTTCAGGTCTCTTGTAGGAAAAGTGAGAGGAATTTTTCATGAAATGCAAGAGATGACCATGTGCCTGCTCTTATAGACATTTCTAAGCTTTCCTTAGTGTTTGAGTTTTACGGCTGAAGTGTGTTTTAGTGCAGTGGGCCGGTGCACTACCTGCCTCCTGGACTTCAGGAGGCTGAGAGCACTTAGCAACCTGTAGGAATGGGCCTATTAGCATCTGTATGTGATTGTCCGTAGCATTTGTGAAGAGTTAGTCTGAACGTGTCACCTGTGAGAGGTGAAATCACCATAGTTTGTGACACAGGAGAAACTTGTGTTGCTTGGCATGTATGCTGATACATTAGGGGGGAATTGATTTCACTCCTGACTTGTATGTGCAAGAGTTTCTGTAAATACAGGCCAGTTACTGAAAGGCACTGATTTTAAAAAGCATTATACTGGCATTAGTAACTGCTGTTGTTGCTAAATGACCTTTGGATTTTTTTTTTCTCCTTCACAGGCAGACATGAAACAGTTGGTGCAAAGCTCTTGAAATCTTATCAGAAACTGAGGTAAGACTCAAAAGGACAAACGGTCCTAGGACACTGAGAATTTGTATAGGTGATATATTTTATGTTATAAACTAGCCAACAGCTTGTATTGTTTTATTCTGAAAAACAAAATTCAACACTTTTGGAGTACAAATGACAAAAACATAGAAAAATTGTCACTTTTATCTGTCAGCAATCCATAGAAAAGATCTCAAGTACAACAGAGTACTATGTTTACTGTAACAGTGTCTTCCTTGAAATGGACATCCATTATTTTTATGTGCTCATATTTTTTGCATAACTGTTTATACTGTTATCTGTTAAATTTGCACAGTACTTTAAAATGATCATAGATGAAAACTATTTACTAGTTGTCATAATAGCATAATTATTGATTCAATGGGAGATATTGCTGATATGACAGTTTTAGAATAAATAGTAGACAGGAAGCTCTGCATTCAATTAGACGTTTCCACTTACCAAACTTTAAAAAAGTAAAAAGTCTAATTTACAGTGAATAAATACTTTGACTAGAGGCTAAAGTATGCCCATACTTAAGTTATTACCAGTGATATATAATGAAATAACAGTCTGCTTAAACTATACGGTATTAAAGTAACCCTCTTTCTTAAAATAAAATACCCAACCACAACAACAAAAAGAACCACCAAAAATAAAACTAACCAACCAAACCCCCTCCTCCCCCCAAAATCCCACTTAAAGTAAGATATATAGAGATGGTCTCAATTTATTATAATTATCTGGCAAGACATAGCTGCATAAGATAGAAACTTATAGTCAGCTAGATAAGATCCTAACCGGAGTTTGCTTTTACGTAGATGTGGTAAAACTAAAAGAGAATCAGAAAGGAAGTTTACCAGCTGCCTTGAGATCTGTGATTGTGCTGTGATAACAGAATCAGTCAGATAACAGTTAGATTCTTTTGCACAGACCAGCACTATTTACCACAGATGGAATGGCAGGAATGTTGTAAAGGTCCTCTAACAGCTCTGGACCCAGGCAAGGAAGGATCCTTTCATTATTGTAAATAAAGATTACTATTTTCTGAAAACATTTCTGAAATAGAAATGAGGTGTGTTATACAGGAATTGTGTTTTAGAACTCAGAACACAGATTGTAATACTGCCAGCTGTATAGAAGTCTAGGGAGTCTGTCCTAAATTAGGTCTTCCTGATAGTTCTAATTCAATAATTTTACCTAGATCAGCCCACGATTAAGAAGATAGAAAGATAGACTTAATTTTTAAGAACAGGCAACAAACCTGTGCTGCAACTCTTAAAGACACAGGATGTCAACCCAGACTTTTATAGAGTACAGGAAAGACCATATAATAAAGATACTGTGCATGGACATGGTTTATTTATCCATCTATTGGCATAATATATTAAATGTTGTTAACTGTTAATCTCTTAAATTTCTAGTAAAATTTCTGTCGTACCTCCAACTCCACCTCCTTTCCCAGAATCAACAGCAGGAACCAATGTGATGGTAAATGTACGTATCCGCAAAATATACATATGTATACTCACCTTATAGAGTTTCATTCATGTGTAAAGGCCAGCCACAGAAATGTAGTAAACAACAACTACTATAATATCACACTGCCGTATAAATGATGCCTTGTGTTCTTTGTCATTATTTTTATGCTGTGTTGGTACTAGAAGAGAAAGATTACAGGCTATGAGGGCTGTTTGCAATTAGTTTTCAGTTTTTGAGGGAAGTGATCAGCCACTCTTCTTGACACTAGAATACTGCATATGGTTTTTGGTGCCTCACTATAGGAAGATTGGACTGGGATCTCCTGAGCTCCCCTCAAACCTGAAGGGGATCCCATGTTCCTAAGATATTCAATAGTTATTTATAAAATGATCATTTCATGTGTCACTTTCATTATTGAGTGAAGAACAGTGAATTTGATGGTTGCCTTTGCATTACAGTTTCTAGTGGACAGAATAGTAGGACATGGCTCAGAAGTCATAAAAATTGCACTGAATTACTATTTCAGTTCATTTTGGACTGAATCCTCAGGCTCTGTTTTTTAAGCCCATTGCAGTTCTGTAAACAGTCTTCTGTGCATACCTGGAGTTTGACAAAAACTTTAATTCAGAGGCACAGGAACATCTGTAATAGATAAAAGTATTAACTACATTACAACAAACTGGTGATGTAATTAGCTGTATTTATGAACTTGCTGTGTGATCTTCCTACAAGGAGTTCCACTTATATGTCAAAGACCATGGAACTGAAAAGATTACTTTCCATCTTCAACAGCTGACAGTTTTCAACTATGTCAATGTATGTCCTCAGATATATTTTTCTACAGAAATGAGCAAAGGGCTGCAGCCTTACCATCTGATATAATCATGGAAACTTTAAAATGACAAATGTTGTGTTTTCTTACTCATGGCATCTCCCATTTGCAGGAACTTGGAGAGTCTAAAAGGTTTAATAAATCTGTGGAAAACTTGTTTTTGTCTCTCACAACACACATAAAAAGTAAGTAGCTTTCACTGTTTTGTCATTCTATAGTAATGAAGTCAAATATTTCAATTTTTTGGCCACAGTGTTGGCCAAGAAATAGTTATAAAACAAGGATATTGAGTAATGGCTGAAATGATTAATGCTAAGGCTGTGCCAACCTGAAAAATAATATAGTAAATCTAATTCTCCTTCAGTATTCTGCTAGTTTTTAAATTTGCTGATTATATCAACCCAGAATGGCTTTCCTGTAAAGATGGAAAAGACTGTAGTATACAATCTTTAAGTTTACCAGGTGTTCAGATGCAGTGTATTTAACTCATGTTAGCACAGAGTAATAACCAATTTCTGCTGTATTGATCTTCATGTTTTCTGTCTGACTGAACCACAACTGACTGTCAAAGAGTCTGTTATTTAATGGAAGTAGAGTTTAATATTTTCATTTACTAGCAGTTTTCATGAGGACTTCCTTCCTCTTTCTCAGTCTGTCTAGTTGAGTGGGTTTTTTGCAGTGCATATTTCTAAGTGCCATCCAGTCCTAGCAACTCCTCTTTCATTCTGATACTTTTGGTTCCTTCCATTCTCTTATGCTGCTTGTTCCTTGGGCTGCAGACTGTGTGTGCATCTCTAAGACTAACTACACTAAGGACAGCCAGCCAGTGTGAAAAACAAAGGCATCAATGACCAGAGGAAAACCACTTCTGAGCCTTAGGAAGATTACAGAGGCTTGCAAATTTGCATGTATTTGAACAAATCTTAATATTTTCTTACTGGCTTCAACTTACACAACCCCACATGTGAGACCAGACCTGAATAAAACTGGCTTTAGTACCTTTCTACCTTTCCCCCTAACCTCTTGCCTTACCTCTTGTTTGGTCTTTCCTTTAGCTTCTTCTACCCACCCTAATGGCCTGTTTTCCTTTAACTATGCAAATTCAATGTTGTGTCTGCGTGAACACATATTAAAGCTATGCAGAGACATGGTGACTGTTACTCCACACAAAAATATAGGGTGGCATAGGATGCTATTACTGGAAGCAGATAGGTGAGGCAGCACTGAACTGGGTGCAAAGTAATTTATCCAGCTTTCTGATAGTTTGAAGCCTGGTCATATCCCACAGTTACTGGTAAAGGCTGTCAGGACTACAGCAAGCTAATTTATCAGTTCAATATTACCAAATGGAAGATCCTCCTCCACTCACATCTTTTTCTTCTTTCTCTGTTTCTAGCCTTATGCTGCTGTGACTTGAATTAGCACTGGACCCCTCCGGAAACTGGTTTAGCTAATTTTAAGGGCATAACATTAACTTAGACAAAACATATAGATACTTTTCTGCTGGTTTAGTGAGTTCAATAGGCTCAAGGTAGGATATACGTGTTGGAACATGTACAGTGGAGGGTACCATGTGGTCAGGAGCCAGGGATTGAGGAGGGAAGAACGGTGGTTGAAGAGGGAGATGGCAGCAAACTGTTAGATCAGCTCAGCTGTGTGAGAAACCCCACGCAGGTGATATCATCCTTAGTTAGGGCAGAGCAGTTCAATTTGTGAGAAAATAACAGGCTGTTGCAATCACTGAAGTCAATAATTAAAAAGCATTGGAAGTCTTACAAAGAGAAAGAATTGGGTTTCTTAAGAAACCAGCTTTTTCAAACAATATGGTCTCCAGTGAAGCCTGGTGCTGTGCTGATAAATGCTTTTGGTCACATGTGTCTAAAGTTAGTACTCTGTATCTTATCTAGATAAAAATGTCCTAGTTTGCAGAGGTATTTAATACATCCCGCTCCTGTGCACTGAAGTAAATAAACATGGAGAACTTCGTTATGCCTCTGATTCCATCACCGGAGCTGGTGTGTGTGTGTGTGTGTGAGAGCAGTGGGTACAAAGGATTAGCGCGTGCAGCACAAAACGACCATTGTACAGTCTGCTCTTTACGCTGTTACCTCCTGTTCCAGCGTGGTTTGGCAGCAACAGGAGATTATAATCCAATGGTTGCCATTTGGTGAATGTAAAATGAGTTACTGGCTGTAGTTTTATTTGCAGTGAAAAGCTGCCCTTGGCTCTAGAGATAGTGTCCATCTTTGCTGACTTTGGGTAGAGAAGCCAAAGGAGGAATAGATATGAAAACTGAACATTCATGTTTCTCACAGTAACCTGTTCATTTTAGGAGTGTAAGGCAAGCTGGTGTTTCTGCTTTGACTGCTGCTCAAGATACAATCTGAGTATCTATTCCATTAGAACTCTCACTCTCTTATATGATCTCTGATTTCACTATGTATTTTAAAAATTGGGTTTCATTTACAGGGGTGGCTTAATTGAGCCTGCATTTGAATAGGTCACATGGTTCCTTAATGGTGTACAAAGAGTACAGTAAACATCTGAGGACTGATTGCTGCTAAGAACAAAACTAACCCAGAGTGTCTTTTAAAAATCACACTTGAGTCCCATTGTTTTCCAATACCATTACTGTCATATTGTCTACTGTGTGAGAGGTTTCTCCACAGAGGTTCATGTTGTGAGAAAAATATTTATTTCTTCTGTATGAATTAAACATATGATAGTCTCTCATGAAGAATTAATAACTTTTAAGTGGTACATGAAATAGCTATCTGGGATTAGCAACAAAGTGTCTGCAGCTAAACCTGCTCATTTTCAAGTTTGGAAATCATGGATGAGTGCTGCCCCTCCCTTTAAGTGAAATTCTGAATGTACACTGAGGAATAAGAAGTGAAAAGTGGTGCATTAAATGTCCAATTGTCCTGTAGATTTATTTGACAATAAACTAGATGTTACTGAAGCGCTAATTCAATAAGGTACTTAAGTATGGCTAAGCTTATCCATATGAGTAATGTTGTTGAAGTCAATGAGGGCTAGTCATGTTCTTGAAATTATATGTGGTTTGGGAACAGAGTATGTAATCTCTCTCCTTTTCTCTTAGAAATTTTGGATAAATTTCTAAATATTTTCCAATATGGTCTGCTTTCTGATTTTCACTGTCGTATTGCTAAACATCCACTGGTCAGATTATGTGACCAATACATCAGTTCTTGAACAGGCAGCAGTCACAAGTATTGAGGCCATGTTGCTGAGAACACAGCTGCGTTGGGCAGGGCACGTCTCTAGGATGAGGGACCACCGCCTCCCCAAGATCCTGCTTTACGGTGAACTTGCCACTGGCTGCCGCAAGAGAGGAGCCCCAAAGAAAAGATACAAGGACTCCCTGAAGCAACAACTCAGCCTTGGGCATATTGATCACCATAACTGGTCTACTCTGGCCTCCAATCGGGAGACCTGGAGACAAACCATTTATAACGCTGCTGATGCTTTTGAGAAAGCACGCAGGATCACTCTTGAGGAGAAAAGACAACGCAGAAAGAATCGAGCCTTGCAGAATATACCATCTAAGGAGTCTTTCTGCTGTGTCTTTTGCAACCGGACATGCCTTTCTCGTATTGGCCTTTTAGCCACCAACGCGCTTGCAAGAAACGTGGGTAGAGCCCTTCCCAAATCTTCGTTCGCGAAACCTAGCCATGAATGTAATCTCTCTCCTTTTCTCTTAGAAATTTTGGATAAATTTCTAAATATTTTCCAATATGCTCTGCTTTCTGATTTTCACTGTCGTATTGCTTTATGTTGTTATAATGATCTTGCTTTTATCCTGAACCAAACCAAACCACTTTACAAATCAAACTATACATATGGACTGTAGTAGCTATTTCCGCAAGGAAACTGTATTTGATGGCGGTAGTTCTGGTGATAGGCAACAAAGAGTATAATTTCCAGTTGAAATGGCAGGAAAGATTTAGGCAGGCAAAGTATAATTATATAAAATGTGACAAGCAGTTGTCTTCCCATCTGTTTCTTACTCTTAGGAGATCAACGCTAAAGTTGCAGGATAAAAGTTTGAAAGCTACAGAATTAGCCTATAAATCTACAGGATTGCTTGCAAAGTTTGTTATAGTGACTTTTCTCTTTATTTTCACTTCAGAAATCTCAAAGTCTCAGAATGATATGACTGACAGATGTGTCCTAACCACAGACTTTGGGAAGAATGTGGAAAGAAGAAGGCAAAGAAGGAGCCAGTCTGACACTGCCATCAACATTACAAGCAAGGTATCCATATTATTATATACAGTCTCAAACTGTAAGAGCTGTTTCATGAATGAAATATATTTGTGAGAGCAATGACTTATACAGTGGAATTTTACTTTTGTTGTATGAACAGGGCTTAGCTGATGTTCACTGACCATGATCAGAACTCTGATTCTTCACAGAGTTTTTGACAGAGTCTGCACAATTGATTTCAGTCTGGAGTTGAAACATTAGACTGAGATTTTTACGAAGACCCTCATATAGAGAAGGAGGGGATGGGTCATTTTGCTCTCAGGTGTTCACAGGCTCTCTTGAGCCTGATTTGATGTTTGCTCTATGTGATTGTTGGGCTGCAGGGATGTACTCTGTCTTGCCCTATTCCTACCCCTTTTGCTGCTGAACAGGAGCAAGCTATGACCATCCCGAAACCATCCTGGCAATCTCTGAGCATTTTTTGACTTGGCAGGGAGAAAACATAGCTGTTCGTTGCTGTGCAACTTCCCCTTTCCTTTTGCTTTGGTTACAGTCTCTAACTTTCAGTGTTTTCTTGAGAAGTTTGAGAAAAATCCAGTCATCTGTTTTCCCACAAATTGTGCAGGGCTGAAGATGATGTCACACTTCTGCTTTAAAGTTAACACTGAAGATTTCGTTTTGTATGCTTTCAGCTCTCAAGTGACTGAACTTTGTCCATACTCAGTTTTCCACATAGTGGGTACTTACTGAATTGCCTTGTTCATCTGAATGAGGTAAATGTGGTCTGCTAAGTGCCTGAATTAGATGCTGAGAAAAGCTCTTGCTTTGGGCCAGACCTCCTGGCACACATTACTCACAGCTCCCTTGGTGAACATTGTTTGCTTTACTCTGAAGTGTCAGGTGCTGTTAAATGGAAGAGACAGGATGTCAAACTGCATGGACTGGCAGTCTGAATTGGCCCAGCAAGGTCTGTGAACTCTGTGAAATTAGTTCTGGTATTTTTGTATGAAATTAAATTATGAACAGAATTGGCGACAATTATTGGTTACTGGAGTGCTGCTTTCATTGTGGCAAGCCGCATTTCAGTGTTAACTTTATTCCACAGGCAGAGCATTGCTCTTTTAATGCATTGAAAAGCATCAGAGTTGGAGATAATGTGGATTTCAACTATGCTACATCACACTCTGATCACAAAAAACCTGTCATGTTTAAAAGATGGATACAGACCCTTTGGCTTGAGGAATGTATTAGTAGAAGATTCCAAATTATTTATGTGGGGTTTTAATTGCCCATTTAAAGATTTAGGACTTAATTTTTGTCCACACTTTGCATTGCAGGTTTTGAAAGATTTCAATGTTGTTTGTGTGCCAGAGCACTATTTCTCTGAGCCAGGAACCTTCTATTTCATTTAAACCAGTTAGACTATCCTTAAGCTAGAATTTTAGTTTTACTAGAATTACTCTTGATTTTTTTTTTTTGGTAAACATAATTTTTGAAATTTTAGTTTTTTTCATGTTGAAGGAAATTTTACTCTTCTCTTCCCACACTTACATGATGACTTTTTGTATTGTTACTGTGAGTTTAAAAACTACTTTTAATTTCTGTCAATGGCACTATTCATTATTCTTCAGTTTATTTTTTTTCTTTCCCATCTTTGTTTTCCTTTAGTAAGGGTAGCTATTTATATCCCTACTAGAACTATACATTAAGTTATGGGGCAGAACATATTTTAAATTACACTTGCAAAACTACTAATTGCATTTATAATGAAATATGATGTAGAAATCTTACTTATTGTGATTTCCACACCAGACAGAACTTTTCATTATCAGAGAATGAATCAAAACAGTGGATTTTTTCCCCCTGGAAAGTGTGTATTTTCCTCTTGGGAATGACTGTAAAGTAATAGCTGAATGTGCAACATATAAAACTGGGGCACTACTTCAGTCTCAAGAACATTATCTGTTTCTTAGATAAGTTTTCTAAATTTGTGATGTGTTCAGAGCTTGATTCCTTCAGATTAAAGTTTAAAGACATTATATTTAACCTCAGTATTAGTGAGAAAACCCCAATGCAATAGCAAAAACTACCAGCCAGTGTAAAATCTGGATTTGGGAAGTTAATTGAACAGTGTTTTCAAGGGCCTCTTGTCATCAGAATCTCTAAGTTTATTAAGGGAACTGCAATTATACCTGCCTTCCTGGGGGAACAAGTAAGCATGTGGACGTGTGGAAGCTGTTTGTGGTGCATTGGTAGCTCTGGGATACCTCTCCTGTGACATTAGAGCTGGGCTACGGGGCAGTCTTGCTTATGCAACCTGATGCTAAGTTTAGCACTGGTAGTTATGGTGCCTTGTCAGTCACTTATTGTCTGTATTCCTCAACCAAAGTCTTCCTGATGCAAGTAGAAGCTAAAATTCAGTGTGTAGTAGGTTGTGTTTAGCAAATGAAATCAGTGGTGGTTTAGGTTTTATAAGGCAGGAGGCAATTTCTGTGCTGGGAAATACACTATTTTGGTTTTGTTTGGGGTTTTCGAGACTATATTCTCAATGCATTTTCTGTCTCTTTCCCTCTCACAAGGGAACATAATTCTTACCTCTCTTCTTAAGGTAAGGCAGTTATTTACACATAACAGTATCTGTGTGTCATAATAACAGTATTCTGGTTAGGATTTTGCACATCCTGTTTTTTTCAGAAGTAATCTCAATATATTATCTCATCTATTATCCTCATTCTTTAGTGCTTTCTGCTGACTGTGCAGTAGGGGCTCTCAGGTTTGTTAAATATATATTACCTGTTTCTTTTATACAAAAAAGTCCCAATTCTTTTTGTTGATTTTAGTCAGATCGTATTCTTTCTAGTCTTTCAGGTAACCTCTGTTACCTGAAATTTGAATAAGAAATTATTTTCTTATATCCTAACCATATAAAATTTCTCACCTCACTCTTTATGGACCCACTGAGCTGTGAACATGCTTTTCATAGATTGTATTATCCAGGGAAAGTGGTGTGCCGGAGTGAGCTAAAATCTAATTTCAGCATATTTCTAGCCATATGTATTAGTCTTTTGGCACTTCTTTCTATTAACTGTTGTTCTGCATAACAGAGGTGGCTGAAGAAAAAATCTCAAGGAGTTTTGGTATATCTATCTCAATTTTTCTCAAATTATCAGAGTTTTCATGGAAAAATTGGAAAGGTGAATGGACATAGTCAAAGCAAAGTCAAGAACACCTTGGAAATTTAAGCTTTTTCTATAAACAAAGTTAAATATGAACTTGTCTTTTTCTATTTTCGAGTCCCTTTCAACGTACATTCATTCTTGCATAGGTAAACATGGGCATGTGTCATACATATTGCAAAATACTATTTTTCATTTCCTGGAGGCAAGATTATTGTTTTTCTTCCAAAATTACTGTTTTGTTAAGGGCTAATAAGGCCTTTTATTAGTATATTACTACTTTTGGTGTATTATTAGTAGACTGTTGTTAATAATTGCTGTGGTAGTGATCATTACATTAGCTAGTGGTATGCTGATTTTAGAAAATTATGAATATAGAGAATGTACTACTAGCTGGAAGGAGAGAATTATAAATCAACACTTAAGTTACTACATTATCTTTGAAAGTGTGCCACCTGCATGACTTTGATCAGAGTCAGTTGTAGCTATTTACTGCATTTTCTTTTGATAGCTTTCCTGAAGGAACCAGGACATTTTCTTTATCTTAAAAAAAATTACTTTCTGAATTTCTTACAGATGAAAAGTACACCTAGTCTGCAGCAGCTCATCACTGGGGCCCAAAATGACAGTGAAATTCTGACAAAAAGTAGTTGCAAGGAGGAAGAAGACATAACAACCAGTCCCACAAGCGATACAGTTTTCTGTGATGGCAGAAAACATGTAAGTTAAAGGATGAAAGACATAGAACAGATGCTTAAAGGGAACAAATATAAAAGCTTGTGCAAAATGTTGATGTATTTTAGATTATATTACAAAATGAAGGAAGAATTTTACTTGAGTTTGATAAAAGACTGACTGCCTTCGGCACAGTCCTCATAGTAACACTGTGAACTTTCTGAAGCATAAGCCAAACCAAATTAATAATGGATAATTGATAGATGGATACATCCATTAATAATGAATAATTTATAAAGCGGCTTTTTCTGAATTTTGCAAATGCAACTAACATTCTTCCCAATTTATATTAAGGTTGGGATTGTGAACATAGTACTTTCTAATCTATTAGCTAGCTTTTTCTCTTTAAGCTTCATTTAACAGAAGGGTTTCATCAGTCTGCAAGAACTGTGGTATTGGAAATGTCAGTGGAAATTCAAATGTCAGAATGTCAGTGAATGAAGAGGAAACTGACAGTGATGGAAGCCAGAGGAGCAGTTCATAGGCTTAGGGCATGATATTGAATCATCCTCTGATGGATGGCATTTTGAATACTGCAGATGAGAGAGAGGGAAGCTGGTTATAAATGAATTCAGCACGTGCTTTAAAGCCCCTATGATTAACTGTGGAAGCTAATTTCTATGTATTAGTGACGAGGTTAAGCAGGGTGAAGTATCCAAAGAATTCATGACCGACCTTGTAAAATTATTTAGGGAATCAAAATTAAACCAGTCTACTGGCTTTACAGAGAAGTATAAACACACACAGGGACCTTGGAGCTCTCTGACAGTTTACTGCACTGTGGAGTCTGAGGTGTTAAGCTGACAAATGGGTAATAACTTGTGGATTACATTTTGGATGCTATAGACCGTTTGAACTGGTCTATAAATGGCTCAGGCTTAAAACTGTAATATTTTCTACTATCTTATAAGAGGGGACAAATTCCATTAAGCTTCTCTTTATGGATAAGTGCTGGATGTTGAAGGCCACTCCATAAAAATGTATCTTCCAAAATATCAGATGGCATTGCTTCCAGTCGTGCCACCAGAAGTACAATACATGAAATCATTGCTAAATCCCTGTTCACTGAACAAAATGGATAGTGAGTTCTACATTGAATGTATGTGACGCCTGAGCAGGCAGGAGAGGTGTGGTGATATTCAGTCCAGAACACCTATCCAGCTTTTCTAAATAAATAAGGTGTTCTGTGGAATAAGTATTAGGGACTTTTGCAGAACCTTTTTTTAGGACATGAGCTAAGACAAAACTCTTTGTATTCCATTGCCATAAAAGATTTTGGTGGAAAATAATAATTTTCTGGTCAAGTGAATAAAAATATGTCAGTGAGTGAAAGAGCAGAGCAAAACAAAGCTGCAAGGGAGATTGGTCACACTGATACGCATCTTATGGAGGGAGCAAGATTACATGCAACAAGCACCAGGTCAAAAAAGTCCTTACTTTTGACTTCCCCAGCAAGCACTTGACCCTTCTTTTGTCATGTGTGTGTGTTACTTAGAGTTTATAAGATAGAGTAGATAGGTGCTTTAATCTAATGGATCTGTTGGTGTGAATTGAGTATTTGGCATGCTGCACAAATGAAGAAAAGTATCTACATGGAAGAGAGATATGATCTTATAAACACTACTCTGCAGTCTTAGCTGCTGGGTTGTGCAATTCAGAACTCCTTGGTTAACCAGTCCTGTGTGGGTTGGTGTTTATTTTCAGAGGGAGGAGTGATCTAACACAGATATCTTAGCAATCTAGGGCAATGTTGCTGTGAGACTAATCACAACAACAATTGAGTCTTCATGACAAATGCGATGTAAAAAGTTCCTAGGGCTCACCTTAAAGAATATCATTATAAAAGAATGGAGACCAAACTATTTTTAGTTGATACTTTGTTACAGTGAAGGCTACATAGCTCCATAAAGTTACATGTCTAGGCTGGGCCACAGAAAGCATTATAGTCTCTTCCTTCTTTGCCCTGTCATGGCTTCTGTAGTGCTGGACGCAAGTGGTTTTTATATACGTGGATGGACAGCATCCAAACCTTTGCCCCAAAGGTGAAAGTAGATGGAAAGGAGAACAAGGTGAACTAGGAAACATCTTCTCTTTGCACCAGAATACAACAGCGGGAAGTCTTCCTATTTTAATCTTTCCTGAATGGTCTGCAGTACAAAGTGTGCAATTTTTATGGGGAATTGAGGCATCTTGTAAAGTATTTACTGATGTGCAGGCCACTTCTGTTTAATTTAATACACGACAAAAACTAATATCTCAGTGGTGTACTCTACTGTATGCTATGTATTAAAAGGAGTCTTAGATTTCAGAGGGTTTTTTCACTCCCTTTCAGACACCCAATTTTCTCATGGGAAGCGACATAGCAGTTTTATTCGAAGACAATTTCTAGATCTAGAAGTTACTTAACAAAGCAATTTTCTAGCCTAGAGAGCCTTGCCCTAGAAGAGGGCAAAGCAGTGGTATTGCAATTACAGTCATAATTTTCAGGGCTGTTATGGAAACAATAGAATATTTTATACAGGTTACCTTAAATTTTGTGATTTGCAGTAGCTTTACAGTAATGTCTATAAAGATATTGACTATTAACGGAAATAAATGTTTTGTCCTGTTTGATCTGAAACTCATTTTCCCAAATGTTTGTCTTTTCTTAGGGGAGTTTGTTTAGTCTTAACAGCACTTGCACTGAATCTGGCAATTTTGGCAAAGCTAATGTGACAGGAGAAATAGAGTTTGCCTTAAGATACATCTTCAGAGCTTACATCTTGGAAATTTGCATCAAGGGATGCAAGAACCTGGCTTATGGAGAAGAGAAAAAGAAAAAGTGTAACCCGTAAGTATTTTTCAGAGAAGGAGAAAAAACATAAGGAAAATATTCTGTTTTTTTGAGATACTTACACATATTGTGATTGGAGTGGATTGATATATGATGGTATGCCATATTGGCACTTTCAGAACCTCCAACATACGTACCAGCCCTTTGTACATATACACACTGCAAGACAAATAGGTTTCATAGCAATGCTTATTCTATTCTTACCATTTTCTGCTAGGAATTGTCCCTTTCCCTTCCTGTGAGCAGGCAGTTGGGTATCTATGTTGCTGATGAATACCTTTGAACCTCAAGAATAGCTGTTCAGATTTTAGTTCTTAAGTTGTGCCCAGAAAATTAACATGTAAGTGGCTGAAACATGAGATGACCTGTTCCTAATATGTCTGCTGACTCACTGTGGGTCACTGAGTGATTGCTATACTACTTAGGTGCTTTTATCTTCTGTAATAAGAGTAGAAATTTCAGATGCTGCAATGGATCTCAAAGTCTAAGGCTGCTTAATAATTACATATCATTGTAAGAGGAAGAAATATTTACTTCTGTGGATAAAATATGCCATAGAAATTTTTGTTGGACAGTTAAGTCTTGGTGATTTATCTCTTTATTACTTAACAATGCTCTCTGACCATGCAGCAACCATTGACAGAAAATCAACAGGTAGAATACCTTACTACGTGTTTTTGCCCCTGCTGTCACACCGCGTTTGAGCAATTGAGTGACCACATTGGAACTGAGGACTTGCAGTCACCTTCACCCAGAAGGTCGAGGGCTTTTGTGCATCTTGCAGAGAATATTCATAAAGACAAGCTTGGTGATGAGCAGTGCCTTGCTGGAACAGCAGCTTGTGGAGCTGGACAGTTTGGGAGCACTTCAGAAGTGGGTCAAGGTTCTTTTAAGTCCCCTGGTAATTAAACCAGGCAAACAATTACAGGAAGGCTGAAAGGCAATGTGGGAAGCATTATGCAGTAAACATTATGTTCTCTATTGGCACATATTTATATATTTCTGTTGGTTTCCAAGCCAACAGAAAAATTATAGTATACTCAACTTGCTTGCTGAAAAGCAGACTTTTAACTGATGTTTAAAACCTGTTGAATTACTTAGCTTATTTGCTGTTTTGAAGTCTGACTGGCTACATTTTAATTAATTGATTTGGGGTTGTAGAAAAAGAGGCTAAAACTTCTAGGACCTGTATATTTTAGAAAGTAGTTTTATCTATGGATAAGTTCAGAAAAAATAGGGAAAATGTGTAAGTTCTGCAACGATGATATGAGGTACAGCTGATTTTTATTTACGCAGCAAGTTAATCAAAAGGCTGTTTTAGAATTGGTTTAAATCATAATATGTGAAATATATACAACAAATACAGTTTAAAAATATTTAGTATTAAGTAAATAATCACTCCTTTCCCTGACAAGCTGTGAGCACTCTCTATGGCTAAAACTCTTAAGTTTTGAAGCCTTAACCTAATTACAGCCCACTGAACTGATAGTAAGGAGAATATTTAGGCATTAGTGTTCACTTGACCTACACATGAGAAACTTTGGATAGGAATCATTACTGCTGGATTTTGGTGCAACTCAGCTTCCAGAAACTTTTTTTACTGGATTTCCTTGAATCAATGTTAGGGCAATTTTGACCACTTTTAGACAATCTCCCATTTTCATTCTAGTGTCTGTTAGAAAAATTAGCATTTTTAAGACTTATGAATTATTATGTATTATTTATGTGATAATACCCTTTTTTGCTACATGGTACCTGGTGTTGTGAAGACAAGATATTTTCTTTATGAACAAGCAGCAGTGATCCTAAAGTTGATTGAGTTAATTTTTTTCCTTTGAGTACATAATATGCTGTTTGTTTTCATCATAAAACTGTCACTACAACCTGGAAGGTGACTTCTTTAGGGGCTATTTTATCAGAGGCCAAGAGTACAAAACCAGAAGATTCCTATTCAGATCCTAATCCTTTCCGAATTACAATGGAATTGAAACACATTAGCAGAATGATACACAGGGTTCCTTATAGTCTATCTGCTTTTACTGAGAAAAGATATAAATCACATTTTGCCATTTTGTTGATGGAAACTTACAAAGTCAATAAAATTGTTTAAGAAATAAGAAAAACTCCTCTCATCTAATTGTTTTCTCCCTGCCCCTTCTGATCACTTTCAATGTATCTTTCTCTCTCTATATAAGGTATGTTAAGGTTTATTTACTTCCTGATAAATCTCCTTGGAGTAAGCGAAAGACAGCTGTCAAAAAGAGCACAGTGGATCCAGAGTTCAATGAGACTTTGAAGGTACGGTTTGCAACTGTGTGCTGCTAAGTGTGCTTTTCTATGGTACAATCCTGCAAGTTCTGAATCGACCTGATAGGGCAAATTTAGGAGTCACGAACAATAATAATTTAAAAAATTATGTTTTTTCAGTCCAAATAAGAGAAAATGCTTTTGGAGTTGCAACAGTAAATGGCAAACCATTAGAAGAGTCTGCCTTTGTCCAAGAGAGCACTTTTAATGAATATCAGTGTTGTTCTGAGTTACCTTGTGGCAAAAGCAAAGTGTCTTCCATGGACATGGGTTTTTGTATGTTCAGGAACTGAATTCAGCAAAAATGGTCAAAAGTGCATTAGCGCTATTGCAGGTGAACTACATCATGCCACTGAGATCCAGCTTGGTGGGATCCAGCTGCAAGTTAAGCCACCTGCATCTAGAGGGAGTTGCATCTGTGAGAGCTCTGTAAGTGCTCCTGGGAATCACTGGAGCCCAGGGTGGTTCAGGGTGATTAGCCCAGAGCCTACACTCAGCTTCTGATTCAACAGCCTAAGTATCGATAGCGATTTCCTTGCCTCTCCATTACCTTCAGCTTTCCATGCAGGTCACCTATGGGCTGGGTATCATGTTTGCCAGTCTCATGTGGGTATATTAGATACCCACGTACCGTATACCATGTTGTATATTAGATACCCAACAATGTCTGAAAGGGCTCTAACTATGTTTGGGGAGTGGATCAAGGCTTTAATTAGTGATCACCTGAATTACTTCCTTGTCCCTGCTGACTGCATTAAGTAGATGTCCGCTGAACAGGATGGGAGTTTCAGCACCATCATTAGATATCTTAATCCTGAACTGACCTCCACAGCAGCCAAATTCTGCTGGGAGTGTAAACAGAAATATAAAAAAATTACAACCCCCAACAAAAACCAAACCAAAAAAAAGAAACAAACAAACCAAAAAAAACAAACAAATAAAAAACCACCTAATCCAGCAAAAATGGTCAAGAATTATTTAACGTTCTGAATTAATAATCAAAATCTTTAGCAAGGCAGGTCAAAGTATTCCTGGAATGTTGATATATATTTGAATGAGCATTATTTAGTATTTAAATTGTGGGGTAATATGCAGATTGCAAAGAATACGCAGACAACATGGTTCATATCTGCCTTCAGCCATGCTGTGCCTGCGCTTCCTGTAAGCAGGTCATGAGCATGGGCTGCATTCATCCTGTGTATTGCTCTGTAAATGCTGTTTATCTTTCTAGTACAAGATTGAATACTCCCAGCTGCGAAGTCGGCAACTTCAGATCTCTGTGTGGCATGCAGGAGCACTCAAATACAGGGTGTTTTTGGGGGAAGTAGTGATTCCACTGGCAGCATGGAATTTTGAAGACGACTCAATGCAGTTATTTGACTGGTATCAACTCAAACCCAAGGTGATTCTGTTTGTTCTTAATTGTATTTTAAGAGCAAGATGTAGTGAATGCTATGAAAAAGATCACCCTTCTGAGATCGAGGGAAAAATGTTGTCAATCCAGCCCATTAGTAAGATGTGTCACAAACACAAATAAGCTCTGAGAAAGACGTGTAAGAGAATGATTGCAGTAATGCAAACTTCTGTATGTCCCTTTCTTAAGCTTGAAAAGCCTGAAGATGATCTTACCCAGTACAGCGGTGAACTCCTCTTGTCTGCAAGACTCTTGGTACCAGCCCAGTATAAAAACTTCCAGTTTGAAGGTATAAAATGTTTCAACATTCATAGAGGTCTTTTCCATTGTAAATGGTTCTATGATTCTGTGAATCCCTTGGTTAGAAAAGAATTGAGATCAATGAAGGACTGGCAATGTGTCCATGTAATATTCCTGTATGGGATTTTTAACAGCTACAGCAAATGGTGCTTTGTGGTGTATTAATTTTTACATTATTTAAAATCGAAACATTTGCCAGCTTTGTGGATTTGTTCTATTTAATACAGACAAAAGCTGTACATTGTAATGGCAGCTGTATGATGCATCCAGCTGTTTTGCAAACTTGTGCCTGTTGTAGTGTTAACAGTAGAGAGGCTATTCTGGTGGTGAAGCAGCAGTTTTATTGTCCAAGGTAGAGACTGCCAATTTAGGGAAAAAGTGGAAGGGTAATGTCTGCAAGGGTACCAGTCCAGCATCCTTGGCTTTCTCCAGTGGTCTCATTTTAGAGAGATTGTTTCACTTGGAGGCGTGATAGGTTCAAAATGTGTAGTCAGGGTTCAGATTTTGGTAATGAAAAGTTGTAAGTATTGCTGTAGTATGTCAGAGCAAGCATCAGCTGGTGGAGTGAAATAAACACTTTGAGCAGAAGGGATAGGAAAAGCCTCATTTTCCTTACCTCCCTAGGTCACAGTGAAGTGTATAAAGGTTCAGAGCTCTAGTAATGCTCTCTGTGTCAGGACCATACCAATAGGTAGAGACCAATAGGAAGCTCTAATTAGCTGTTTGGTTATTTTTTCCTTTTTTTTTCTAAATGACCCCAAAGTTATCAGCTTGCTTTCTTCAATTCTTCCTCCCTGTGCAGGCCTGTGTCTCTGCTTTGTACCTAGAGCTGGGAGAGGAGCAGTATCACACCATGGGTTTGGCTGTTTCTCCTGCTTCTGACTGTTCCAGAGAAATGTTTCTGTGGGTACTGTCCTGTGTTGACATTTCACAAACACAGCAGAAAGCTTTGTCTTTGGAACAGAAATCACAAAGCAGCCTGCTACTCATTGCTTGGTTTTCTTTTTGTGAATCATACACTGTACAAACACGTTAAAATCTTTCAAATATTCCTAGTACAGCCTTATGACTCCCTATCTGAGTAGTACCACTTAGGCATTCCCCTACTTATAGCAGCATCTTAACCTATGAGCTGAACTGATTGGGCATTTCATGTGATAAGGGCTCCCTTTTTCAGGAAACAAAGACCAAGGAGTTCCCAACTGCCAGCTTCAGATTATGATATTTGGGGCTAAGAACTTGCCCATGCTGAGACCTGCTGGAATGTTGAACTCCTTTGTTAAAGGGTATGTATGAGACCTAACACTACAAATAGGAAATATCACGTGTTCTGTGCAAATGTATGTATGTTTTCATCAGCAGACTGCATTTGAAACTGCCATCATCTACACTTAGTTAGACTTCCTTGTAATGGCTTCATTTGAGTGCCTGCAAAACAGCAGCACTTTGCAGAGTGGTGACAGGTCCCACCTGCCCTCTTGGTCTTGAAATTTAGAATTTAATGATGTCATTAAAATTTAGAGTTCGCTAGTTTAAGTATGTGCTTTTAGATACTAGGAGAGGAAAAAAATGTGCAAACAAATACAGTATTGTGATTCCTAGTTTCAGCTTTTGCAGAATTAAGTAAAGCTTGGGATACATGGAAAACTTTTATCCTCTTCATTCCAGACATTTTGAAAGAGAAGGGACTGAATTTTTCTTCAGTGTGCTGAGTAGCTTGTATGTGGGATCATTTTACTTTCCTGTTGTCAGGCATTAGATGCCATTAGAAATATGATACTGGGGTAAACTTACATCTCATAACACTATTTCACCTGCTGTGGCACCTATTTTGGTGAAATGGGAGAGCATTTTAGCTGCTGAAAGACAGGTTTTAGGCAGTATTGAATAACAGCACGTGGAGTAAAGACTCTTTCAGCAGTCAGTGACTGCAAAGTTAAAGCAGACCAGAAGAGCCTACTTGCACCCACATTAATGACAAGCAGGAGAAGGTGCAAGTCCCAAAATAAACACACTAGCACCATGTTCTATCTTGCACTTAAACTAAACCTTTTTGCTCTTTAAGGTAAAACAAAGGGCCTTAGTTGATTATTGCTAATTCTCTGTTTTCTTGTTGAGAAATCAGTAACTTTGCTGAACTCTTATTTTTTTGGGAAAGTTGTCTTATCCTTCCAAACCAAGCAGAGGTAAGGCAAAAGTCTCCTGTCCTGAAGAAAGAAGCCTGTCCTCAGTGGAAACACTTGTTTGTCTTTGATGGTGTGACCCCAGCTCAGCTACAGCAATCATGTCTACACCTGACTGTCTGGGACAAGTCAACTTTCAGCTCAAGTGATCAATTCCTAGGAGGAGCCAAGCTTGGTACAAGTAAGTTCATTACCACTAAAAGTTTAAGGTAATTTGGGGAAAAGGTCTTTTAGTTTACATCCTAAACAACAATAATTATACTATGCTATTTATTACCTGCTATCATGTGCCTATACATACAGTCCCAGCCTCTGTCATAAGCAACTTGCAGTCTTGGGCTTTGATCCCCCAAGAACTGATGCATGTGCTTTAGCTTAGGTCTGTGGGGAAGCTCAAGGTTGTCAGTGGAAATTTTCAGGAAAGCTATTTGTTAACATGGTGACTTTTGAGGCCAGAGCCATGCTAAGACAAGCACAGAAATGGTCTGGCTCTAACTCCACATAGAGCTCTCTGTATTTTTAAAGACTTATTCCCTTAACTGTTTTTTATGAATTGGCTAATTTTAAATGATTTCTCATCAAAAGAAAGCACAAGAACTAATGATCTAGTAGACTCCAACCTTGCTTATGTTTGTGATTATCATTTTACATCCACAAATCAATCCAATCAATGAAATAGAGAAGGTGAAACTTGCTCAGAAGGGGCTATTGCATGTGTGAGTTTTGGGCTCTGTTCTAACATAAGAGCAAACTTTCTTTCTGAAGGCTGAGAAATGTTTGAGAAACATCTGAAAAGCCCTTTGCTTGCTAAATAGGCCCTGTTTCCCTGGTAGTTGAGAAGGAAAGCATTATCATAGAATCATAGAATCAGCCAGGTTGGAAGGGACCTCTGAGATCATCAAGTCCAACCCTTATCACTTGAAGGCTGAGCAACAGAGGCTCCTAGCTCCATCCTCCCTGAGAGTAAGTGCCGTGGTTTCAGTATTTGAGATGAAAGGCTCAAAAAAGATTGAGGCTCAGTCATGTTGTTTGGGTATCAGTATGCACTTTAGAGGAGTATTATCACTAGTGGTAAGTCAATGTTTTGCAGGGTTCCTCGTGAACTTTTTCTGATTTTCTGACCCAGCATTTTCTTTTCTGCTAGAGCAGGGGCTACCTGCTTGTAAGTGATCCAAGCCCTAAGCCTAGTAATGCACTGAAGGTATTGGAGATGAACTGAAGCAGGAGACTTTGTGCCATTCAGCTATTAACAGCGTGCACAGTTGCTCCTCTGCTTCTAGTCATACCTCCAGAAACTTTTTATTTGCTGCAAGCGGAGATCTTCAGAGAGAAATCCTAGTTTACAGGATGTAAATAATACTTCAAAAGTATAAATACAATTTATTGCAATTAGTGCTTAGGAGCTACAGAGCAGCTGAAATTACTGTAGAAGTGGGTGAACAGGTTATTCTGTTAACCAGTCCATTGGGCCAGAAGTTGGGTAAGGCTTAGTGAAAAGTAACTGACCTTTCCTTTTGCTTTCTTGCAGAGGAACTGTTTGGCTCTACAGACCTTGTTTCTCAGTCAGTGCTCCAATGGCAAGAAGTGCTCTGCAACCCAAACATGTGGATGGACTTTACACTTGTACTGCATTCAAATAAGGAAAACTTTAAATCATGAGAAATTATCACACAACTTTTCCTTCCCCATGTGTGATGTTTTAAACTTCCCCAGACTTCAGATCTGGGGAAAGGTATGATGCAAATGCATCCACTCTGGCTTTTGGGGAATAGACTTATGTATAAGTGTGTGACATTCTGAATGTTTTATTTTTTAAAAAGTAAAGGCTTTAACTTGTGTCTCTAGCTGGAGTATAAGGTTAATATTGTTTCTTCAGGAGTTACAGTCTCAGTTTGAGATGCATTATGCTGACAAAGCAACAGTAGCCAGACAATATGCAGTTTTCCATTTTTGGGCATAGCCAAACTGTTTAGTCACAGCTAGGAATACTTCTCAGAGAAAATAACTGTTACAGCAGGAAATTTATGTGCTTTCGCTCTGAGGTTAATGTTTTATACACAGAACTGAAAACTAGCTTATCTTTGTCTGCTTGCTGCAAAGGGGAGATGCTAATAACTGCTTCAGAATTATCTACACTGCCACTATTATTTCACATGACGCTAAAAAGCATTGGCCTGTAGCCACATCTCTCAAATGTGTGCTGCATCATGGAGCTTAGAAAGCTAAGGTACAAATTCTCCCTCAGTAGGAGTATGGGACAACAGCTGATAGACTAAGTAATAAGTTCCTTCTTATCTGCCACTGTAAGACAGATTTAACAAGTCTGATCCATAGGGTGTACAGCATGTGACAAGAATTTAGCTCAGTTTATCATTTATTCATGTGGACTGGTGGAAATGCAAGCTTAGGCCAAACTACTGCATCAATTTGCCTTGCCTCAGATGTAGTGTTACAGTCAGCAGAAACTTCATATATACAACTGTAACTAGTGCTGCTGTGTTATACTTTTGTTACTGCAAGTATTGCCCTTCCTTCATAGGTCAGTGTGGCTTTTAAGGATTTAAGGTTTAAAGACACAAGGACTAACAGGCTAAGCTGAGGAACTAAAAGAGCAGTAGTACACCTTACACAGAACACACCCCACACAAGAAACACTTGACTCCACATCCTTTGTTACTTTGCAGATCTTTTATTTAGATGTTTGCTGCTGCAAATAAAAAAAAACCCACACAAGATTCAACTCACGTATAATGCAGCATAGATATTGTAAATGGAAGAGAAGAGGTGACAACATACTGTATCTCACTTTCTAACAGATTTTCAAGGAAAGGGGGAGAGTGGGGGAAGAATGGTCACAGAAATGCTCTCTACTAGAGAGAATTCAACTGTGATATAAACAAGCAGTCCCTTCATCTTTGGAGTCTGAAACTTTAAATCAAACATTTAAAAAAATTAGAAAATTTGTTAGAAAAATAGGTGCAGTAAAATTGTATATATTGGATCATGTGTACATATAACAGTTTTCATTAAGTAAAAAAATGATCTTTACAAATAATGCTTTATAGTAAATAATCAGCTGTACTGTATCAGACTACAGTGTTGTTTAGGCATTTTTACAGATGCAAGTCTTATTAAATCTGAAAAGTAACAAAATATACAGAGCAAAACTATTTCCCTTTAAACTAGTACTGCAATCCACATGTTGCATGTTTATATATATATATATATAAATACTACACTATAACTGATCAGTAATGAAGTTGGAATGCAAACACAGTAGTGTATTTGGATTCCAACAGAGTATTTGCTACTTGTTACGTGAAGAGGATATGAGTGTCCCTATGCCACACTTCTGAGCCATCACTGCAGAAATTCTCCAGTTGAGAACAGCAACCAGAAAACGCCTAATTTCTACACAAAGTAGTTCTGAGGTGTTGTCATTTCTTTTGGGGGGGGTGGGCTGGGGAGGGGGAACACGGGCATCAAGACCAAGGAAAAAACAGGACATATAAGCACATGTGCAAGGTTGTACACACTCAGGTGCTTGCAAATCCTGAGTTCCAGAACCTGTCTTCTCAACTGCTGGACTTCACACTGTAACTAATGATACAAAGACGTATGGCACAAAATTCACCCACAGATGCTTATTTTTTAGACCAGGCTGAATCCAGCACCTGCACAGGACATGTATCTTCAACTAGAAGCACAGCCTGTTAAAATTTGTCTTGCTTAAAGAGAGATGTGACGTAAGGCCTTTTGGCACTAAGCAAAGGCATGAGCAAGTTACCAGGATCAGTGGTACAATAAGTTTTTAACTATATCAAATTTCAGAGAAGGTACAGGATAAATGGGAGATTTAAACACCTCTGAGTTTAGAGAACATTTGTTAAGTGTCATACAGTGATGCCTCCTCAGGAAAAAATAAACAAACCAAAAAACCAACACATCAAAAAACCCCCAAAATAAGAACACAGCATTAAGATCTGCCTTTCCCACAGTCCTGTCTTCTTACAAGCATCGTTACATCGCCTCAAACTCATCAATTCTCTGCTTGGTGTTGCCTTGCCGGATCTGCCGCAGCGTCTTGTACTTGTCACGTCCCTGTCGCATGTTCTCTGAGTGGATAATGTCGTTTTGGGTCCTCTTATTTTCGTCTCTAGCCTGGGCCAGCTCATCTGTCAGTGCCTACAATATGAAGAACATTAAATACAGGTTATTTGTAAGAAGCTTCCAGCTCGTGACAGTAGAGTTCTTTGGTGAGAGCTGACAGTTGATAGATGACTGGACAGATCAGTGACATGGATACAACATATGCTTTCCATAAACACTATGGATGATTTAAGCAACCTCAAAGCTTCAGCAATGAGAGTAATCTTTATATACCTTGTCTTTATTTCAAACTGCCTACAGGAACTGTAAACAAAGAGAAACTATCATACTTGGTGTGTATAACCAAGTGGTTAAACGATGTTTTCCAGGAAAGATTGTTTCAATTACTCTGCCTCCCCCAAATATCATCTTACCCTCAGTTGACTCTGTACACGTGCATTCTTCTCTGCTTCAGTAATGCGCTTCTCCTCATTGCGGTCATTCCTGATCCCCTCACTGGAGAACTCCGCACTGTAGGCAGAGTACTCAGAGCCTTCGTCTTGCAAGTTATCGTGGACATGGTAGTTCACTGGCTCATAGACAGGTGGTGGGGGTGGAGGTGGAGCAGTCATTACCAGGTGTAACTCCTCCTTTGTCTTTACCAGATCCTCCTGGGCTTCCCTGGCCTTTGGGAAAAGAGTAAAAAGTATTTTAAATGCATTTCTTGCTTTAAACCAGCTTAATAAACACTCAAATGCTTATCTTCCTGGTTTTTTCAATCCACTATGAAAAGCAAGGAAGAAAGAATTAAATCTCCACAGCTGACAGTACTCTATTAGTCATATACAGAACTTTTTTTTTTTTGCTAGGTATGTCATCATTATTCATTGTGTAATGTGCAAGATATCTAAGCAAAGAATCTTCTTCCACTAAAACAGCCTAGAAAAAACTGTTCTGTGGGAAGCTACAGTTAAATTCATCCTGTTCTCCATTTGAAGAGCTGTAGGCTGAAGAGACAAGAGTTCTACAGAGCAAGAACTCAGATTCCCAAGTTGGAATTTTGAATGTATGCAGTAGGCAGGCACCTTCCTTACTGCTTCAGTGGTTTTGCCCTCCCACGCAGCCCACAGCCCTAGTTACAGGGCACTGAGAGTACCAGGCACTCTGAACCTTGTGTGGTTTGTCTTTGGTTTTAGTGCATCATATGCTGTTAAACTATGCCAACCAGGAAGCCACCAACAACAGCACACACTCCTCAAAATGGATACCTGCAGTGTGGCTGCATTTGCAGAGTCTTCTCTTGACTGATGTTTTCAGACATTATATCGTGCATCAGGCATCATTTATCCATGTGCCCCTCCCCCTCCATGGCTCCAAGATGATGATCACATTTTTAGGTTTTATACAGGCTTCCATTTTGAATTTTGACGGTTTGTTGGAAGAAAGGTGTTTTGCAGGCATATTGCACATTCACCACAAGTTTGCCCTTCTTCACTGCTGTACAGATGTTTGTCTCCATATGTGTAGAGAAGTCACACCAAGCTAAGCACCAGTGTGCTCTGCTCAAGCGTAGAACTTTAGAGCAACTTTGTAAGGCAGATACTCACTCTGATTTGCCACTCTTCAACCTCGCTCTCTTTACGCCTCCTTGCCTCTTCAAGAAGTGCAATCTTGGCTGTATACTCTGCAAGCTCTGTAGCCTGTTGAATAATAAAACTGGAATTATAAGGACTCTTAAAAAAAACCAAACCAACCCAACCACCAAGCACAACAAAGAAACACTTAACTGTAATAAAGAAATAAGGAACAAATAACTAGATTCCTTATGATAGAAACCAGTGCCATGATGATCCTATGACATGGTCTAGTACTTTACTGCACTAGGTTTTTCCCTGGACAAGATGGCTTTGCCTTACTCAAGGACACAGTAGCATATCTGATCCTCAAAATGACTAGGTCTTACCAGTTGTTCCTGGCTCTTTATCTGGTCCATAGTTTGTCTTTCCAGCTCTTCCTTGGCCTGGAGAGCAGCTAAACGGTCAGCTTCCAAACGTTCTGCTTCCTCCTGGGCTCGTCTCCTTTCCTCCTCCAGCTGAATGGCTCTTTGGATCTGATCTGAGAGCTCTGGAAAAAGATCAGCACAGTTAGTCCACAAGCCTGGCCAAAGCTAAGGAACTACAAACAGTCTCTCAGGTAACTGCAGTAAGTCACAATAGCACTTTACTCCAGCATGCAATACTCCCTTCACCATGCTCCTCAAAGTAATTATTTGCATAGTACATCAAGTAACTGGATTCAGATGAGTCAGATGCACATTATAATTAGATTTTCTGCAAGATGTTTGCACTAAAAAGTCTGTAACACTGACAAGAGACTGCTGCCCTTAATAGACCAGATGTTGCTGTCTCCAATCTGATCATCTATGCATTGAAACAGAATGTTTCCATTTCACTGTAAAGACTTGTTCCCAAAGCACTTTTTTCTGCTGGGCGTTAAGTAAAAAGTACTTGAGGGCTGAACTCTTGCTCACTGCTGGAAGAGGCCCTGCTACTTAAACCCTCTTGGCAACTGGGGAAAACAGAGTTCTTGCCCTTCGGTTCCCAAATACAGTCTGCAGATTTTATGCTACTTTAATACTTTGGATTATTATGAGTACCATGTGCACATGTGTGTATTTACCCATACGGGAAGATATTAGTAAGCTTTGCTAAGAGATCTCAGTGTCACCAGATTTAGTCAAGGCATAGGCAGCGATCCATGTAACCCCTCTATGGAGCACAATACACACGGTCTGGTCAGCCATGACAAGTACTTTACCTTTCTCTGCTTTCTGAGTCTTCACTTCATACTCCTGTAGCCTCACCAGGAGCTCCTCCTTCTCCCTCAGCATTTGCTCTTTCTCCCTCTCAATTGTCTCCCTCTTCCTCTTTTCATCTTCTAGTTGTTTCC